GCATAGCTTATTCATATTGTGTAATGAATGAAAATAAATAGGCCTACTAGGCTCCTCTCTACTTTGACATTTAAGATTAGCTTGTTTGATCCACCTTCATACACATGTGACATTACTGTACAACTTGAGAAAGGTGAGTTGTTTTCTGCTCCAGCCTGCCTAAAAGAAAAGCGTTTTTGGGATTAAATGGACTTTATTAGCTGCTGCAGTGCAGGATGAACTCAGAATAGACCCATTTTTCACCTTATTATTCTAAATCATGCAACGAAGAAGAAGAAATGCATAATAAATCCTGGGACAAAATCTGTCCACAGCATGTAGTCTGATGAACAAGACTTGTGTTATAGCTGACTTGGGCAGTGAAATGTTTAATTTTTTAATTCATGTGGTCATAGTTGTCCACAACTCAAATCAGAATATAAGAAGAAATGTTTTATACCACCTCAAGAAGGCTTCCTATCAGAAAGTTAGGAAGGTATTTCAAATGTACAACTGCAGTACTTAAATCTAAGTAAAGTAATTTCCCTGACATTACTGTGTTACGCATGTAACAGGTTTTATACTTCCTGTGAGTATAATCCAATCAATCTTATTTTCATACTGTATATCCGTTGTGTAATTTGATAAATTGTGTTGTATGTCGTGCTCGCATCGGGTACTACTGAGACTTCATAGCCCTCTTCAGAGAAGACTCTGACTGCAACATGCGTCTTTGTAAAGAGAGAAACAGACAGAAAAAGTCTCTAACTCTGCCTGTCAGCTCGCTCTGCTCCGTTAAAACTGAATTTACCATACAGAATTGAATATGAGTGCACTCCAGCTTTAGCTGCAGCCAGCTGACCGTGTGCTTCTCCCTATACCGCAGTTCTGTGTCCATGCATGCAGCAAACTGAAAGCACTGTCTGTCGGAGCGTCTACGTGAAAAGAGAAGGAAGACATTGCTGGTAGTATTGTCTTCAGAGTTGTTAAACACCTCAGCGCACTGAAGGAAGCCATCTGACTGTGTGAGGGGCAAGATCGTTGATGTCTGCAGGCAGAGTAGGAGCTCTCCTGTCTGACTGGTCCACCAATAGCAGAGAAGATGACCCTTGAGACACAGCCCCTCCTCATTTGCATAATGAGGCAGAAATGCATACAAAAATTTAAAAAAGACAGGCAGAAATAAATACCATGGGTGAAAATAAATAAGGTAAATAAATACAAAGGTGAATAAGTAAAGGCACTAATTAAAATATATACATTTATGTCTCCTTGTATAATTTAATTACTACCTACATTTATTTATTTACTTTATATTTTGTGTGTTTAATTGGATGCTTATTTATTTATTGAGTATTTATTTATTTCTGTATTTATTTCTGACTGTGTCAGGATCGGTCCTCCATAACGGGGTGGGAGAGTTATCAAGCACGTAAAGTTTGGTTCAGATGTGAGCATGTACACTGAAGTTACAACAACTTCCTGTGTCATGGCGAAGACTTGATCTCTGACGCCACGCCACGGACACACCCATTGACGAAAACTCGCAAATAGCACAACTTTTCATCTTCAATGCCTTTAGAAGGCACAGCACAAATTTGAAGTCGGTCGGACTAAATCCCTAGGAGGAGTTCGTTAAAGTACGAAGTGTGTAAATCATCCAAAATTTGACGTAAAATTCAAAATGGCCTACTTCCTGTTGATTTTAGGGCATCGCTCCAAGAGGCTTTTTTGTGCGTCTGGACAAGATACACGTACCACAGAAAATTCGTGCACGTAGGTAAAACGTGCGGCGGGGGCTGCTTCGTTAAAAGTCACTTCCTGTTGCCAGCAGGTGGCGCTATGACTGTGGGTGAATGTCGGCATGTACATGTGTTCAGGGCGGGACTCTCATCCTACATGTACAGTTTGGTCCAGATGTGAGCATGTACACTGAAGTTACGACAACTTCCGTGTCATGGCGAAGAGTTGATCTTTGACGCCACGCCACGGACACGCCCATTGACGAAAACTTGCAAATAGCACAACTTTTCATCTTCAATGCCTTTAGAAGGCACAGCACAAATTTGAGGTCGGTCGGACTAAATCCCTAGGAGGAGTTCGTTAAAGTACGAAGTGTGTAAATCATCCAAAATTTGACGTAAAATTCAAAATGGCCGACTTCCTGTTGACTTTAGGCTATGGGTTCTTGAGGCTTTTTTGTGCGTCTTGATACGATACGTGTCCCCAGAAAATTTCGTACATGTAGGTTGAACGTGAACGAGGGGCTAATCATTTCCAATTTTCTAGGTGGCGCTAGCGAGTCATTTTGCCACGCCCATGTGCGAAACTTGTAGAATACGAAATTTTTCACCGGTTCTGACATGTTTGCAAATTTTGGTGAGTTTTCGAGTATGTTTAGGCCATGTCATTTGGGCCTACTTTGCAGAAAAAAAAAAAAAAAAAAAAAAATATATATAATCCGAGCAAATTCAATAGGGACCTCGCACGGTCGTGCTCGGGCCCTAAAAATATATATATAATCCGAGCAAATTCAATAGGGACCTCGCACGGTCGTGCTCGGGCCCTAATAAATACATTAAAAAAATTTGTAAGAAATAAAGTTGAATAAACAAATAAGGTAATTATAACAAAGGTGAATAAGTAAAGGCACTAATTAAAATATATACATTTATGTCTCCTTGTATAATTTAATTACTACCTACATTTATTTATTTACTTTATTTTTTTGTGTATTTAATTGGATGCTTATTTATTTATTGAGCATTTATTTATTTCTGTATTTATTTCTGACTGTGTCAGGATCGGTCCTCCATAGCGGGGTGGGAGAGTTATCAAGCACGTAAAGTTTGGTTCAGATGTGAGCATGTACACTGAAGTTACAACAACTTCCTGTGTCATGGCGAAGACTTGATCTCTGACGCCACGCCACGGACACACCCATTGACGAAAACTCGCAAATAGCACAACTTTTCATCTTCAATGCCTTTAGAAGGCACAGCACAAATTTGAAGTCGGTCGGACTAAATCCCTAGGAGGAGTTCGTTAAAGTACGAAGTGTGTAAATCATCCAAAATTTGACGTAAAATTCAAAATGGCCGACTTCCTGTTGATTTTAGGGCATCGCTCCAAGAGGCTTTTTTGTGCGTCTGGACAAGATACACGTACCACAGAAAATTCGTGCACGTAGGTGAAACGTGCGGCGGGGGCTGCTTCGTTAAAAGTCACTTCCTGTTGCCAGCAGGTGGCGCTATGACTGTCTGTGAATGTCAGCATGTACATGTGTTCAGGGCGGGACTCTCATCCTACATGTACAGTTTGGTCCAGATGTGAGCATGTACACTGAAGTTACAACAACTTCCTGTTTCATTGCGAATCATCAACGCCACGGACACGCCCATTGACGAAAACTCGCAAATAGCACAACTTTTCATCGTCAATGCCTTTAGAAGGCACAGCAGAAATTTGACGTCGATCCGACTAAATCCCTAGGAGGAGTTCGTTAAAGTACGAAGTGTGTAAATCATCCAAAAATGGACATAAAATTCAAAATGGCCGACTTCCTGTTTACTTTAGGCTATGGGTTCTTGAGGCTTTTTTGTGCGTCTTGATACGATACGTGTCCCCAGAAAATTTCGTACATGTAGGTTGAACGTGAACGAGGGGCTAATCATTTCCAATTTTCTAGGTGGCGCTAGCGAGTCATTTTGCCACGCCCATGTGCGAAACTTGTAGAATACGAAATTTTTCACCGGTTCTGACATGTTTGCAAATTTTGGTGAGTTTTCGAGAATGTTTAGGCCATGTCATTTGGGCCTACTTTGCAGAAAAAAAAAAAAAAAAAAAAAAAAAATTCCGAGCAAATTCAATAGGGACCTCGCACGGTCGTGCTCGGGCCCTAAATATAATCCGAGCAAATTCAATAGGGACCTCACACGGTCGTGCTCGGGCCCTAAAAAATATAATCCGAGCAAATTCAATAGGGACCTCGCACGGTCGTGCTCGGGCCCTAAATATATATATATATATATATATATATATATATATATATATATAATCCGAGCAAATTCAATAGGGACCTCACACGGTCGTGCTCGGGCCCTAATAAAAAAAAAAATATATATATATATATATAATCCGAGCAAATTCAATAGGGACCTCACACGGTCGTGCTCGGGCCCTAAAAATAATCCGAGCAAATTCAATAGGGACCTCACACGGTCGTGCTCGGGCCCTAAAAAAATAATCCGAGCAAATTCAATAGGGACCTCACACGGTCTTGCTCGGGCCCTAAATATATATATAATCCGAGCAAATTCAATAGGGACCTCACACGATCGTGCTCGGGCCCTAACTAAAGTTAAAGACTTCAGGACAGAATTAAACTTTTAGCTTCTGAAATCCATATTTAGACCCTCTAATGGAGCTCAGAATTGAGCTGGAGGACTGCTGCTTTACTCCAAACACTTTCACTAAATGAACCTGGACTGTTTGTGAGACCACACACAGTTTAGATCCTGACCTGTAGCTAGCTGGCAAAAATGGCAGTCAGTCAATGGTCAGCACGTTTTACCGACGTCAGTCTCTGATGTTGATTTATCTTCATTTTGCACCATTTTTTAATATAGAAACAATGTTGAAATGATAGCTAACTAAAAATCTACGTGACTTCAATGTTCTTTCAACCAATTTTACTATTGAAACAATGTTGAAATGATAGCCTAACTAACAATCAACGTGACTTCAATAGTATTTCAACCAGCATAACTATTGAAACAACGTTGAAACCATGTTGAATCAACATTCTGCTGTCAACACTAATTTCATGTTGATTCATCATCATTTTGCACCCTTTTTAAATATTGAAACAACATTGAAATCATAGCTAACTAAAAATCAACGTGACTTCAGTGTTATTATAACCAATATTACTATTGAAACAATGCTGAAATGATAGCCTACCTAACAATCAACTTGACAACCAATATTAAACCACAGAAAAGAGACTAAAAGATTAAAAATTTATAAATGACAACGGACAATTTAATCAGTTTATTTATGGAATAAAAAAAATTATTCACTACTCCTGTTCTGCTCTGTCCACCCATCAGGTCTGGGGCATTGGAAGCCATTTTTGTGCTGCCTGGGCAAAGTCAAATACTTCTGTTGGTTCAGTCAGGGCATCTATAACAGAAAACATACAAACAAAACAACTTTCAGTCGTGAAAAGGATGTGAAGATGAACAATGTCAGTCGGGCTGAATTGGCACTATATTATATATATATATATATATATATAACAGTTAACTTACTTGAATTCACTAATGTTACCAATTTGCCAGTTTATTGTAGATGTAGACTGCCTGGCTGTGGTGGAATCCATTGACGTTTATAGTTATTTAAATTGTCAAACATTAAATGCAGTCATAGATTGAATCTGGAGGCTGAAAGTTGTAGAAGACTGAGAATTTATACTAGCGAAGTAACTTATCCTAATACGATGGAGCTTGGATATTGTGCTATTTGTCAGTATAAAATGGTATTGAAACACTTGTATATGTCACGGTTTGGTATGGGTGAGGCAGGTTGGAGGACCCAAATGCATGACGCAAGGCAGGAAGAGGTATAGTACAATGGGGTTTTAATGTAACAAAAAGCGAGCACACTTACAGTTGAGTGGCTGAATACAGAGTCCGAAAACAAAGGTGGTCTAAACAGAGTTCCAAAGGGAGCAGCGTAACAGGGAGACACGGGAGACACGACAGACAACCTCACAGCAACTCCAGGGGACAGCATACAATGACCCGACAAAGACAAGACAGAAACACCAGGTATATATACACATACACACACACACACACACACACACACACACACACACACACACACACACACACACAGGGACTAACGAGCAGGGCGGGAGCAACACAGGTGAAGGACATGAGATTAACGAGGCAGGCAGAGAGAGACAGTGAATAGAGAGACTGACATGCAGGCAGAGTGACAACTGGGAGAACAGACGGAACACAGGTTACTGAACACAAAACAGACCAGAGTGAACACTTAACATGAACTAAGGTACAGGACTGGGAACAAGGACAAAGAACTAAAACGCAGGAACAAGAGCAAGGCAGTGACTAAGAAACAATATAACAAGTAGACTACCAAACCAATATCAAAACAACACAGGACTACGAGCTAGAACACCAGACAAGACATAAACACTAAGGACAAGGAAACAAGAAGAACAGGAAAACAGAAGGACACCAGAAACAAATGGCAAAAACTCATGACAGTATATCGTCTATGACTGCATATAATGTTAGACAATGTCAATAAACGATAAATGTCTACAATATGTGTGTCTATAATTCAATTGCTTTTCAATATCACATAATTTCCCGGTCAACTATAAATAGATGACTTTTCAATCATATTTCCCGGCCAACTATAATTCAATGACTTTCAATCATATTTCCCGGTCAACTATAATTCAATTACTTTTCAATCATATTTCCCGGTCAACTATAATTCAATTACTTTTCAATCATATTTCCCGGTCAACTATATTTCAATTACTTTTCAATCATATTTCCCGGTCAACTATAATTCAATTACTTTTCAATCATATTTCCCGATAAACTATAATTCAATTACTTTTCAATATCATGTAATTTCTGGTCAACTATAAATAGGTGATTTTTCAACATTGTCTTTGTTACCCAGTCAACACAAATCAATGCTTAATCAAGTATAATCGGGGCAACTATAAATCAATATTATTCCAATGTCACGCTCATACATGGTCGTTTTTCATCAGTATTGCAATACTGATTCAACATTTATTTAGGGTTGAGATTTCAATCTCAACCATTCTGATGATTCAGATGGAAAATCAATATTTATTCAATGTAGTCTTGCTATCTGGACCATGTCACATGACATTAAAATCATGCGGAGCAAGGTGGCTGCAGTTGCAGAGTCTGGTGGCAGCAGCTGCTTTCATCTCAAACGCACCTATTTGCATATTGAGGTCATTGTGGTGGGAATGTCATCAAACTTGACATGTTCACTGAGGTTATAACAGCTTCCTGTTTCATGGTGAATCATCACGGGTAAACACTTTTATGTAACCTGCCAGATAGCACAACTTTACACCGTTGATGCCTTTAAATTGAAAATGATTTTCAGAAGAAAGAAAAATTATTCCTACAGTTCCAATAGGGTTCTCACATGTTTCCTGCTCGGGCCCTAATAATACACTTTAGAGAGAAGTATCAAATACATTCCATCAAACTCATTTTTGACAGCTATTTCCGGTCCCACCACCCCCACCGGATGTCTGTATGTAACTGATAAGAGGGGGTGCATCCTGTCCCGCCCCAACCGGAAATATGGCTGTATGTAACTGATAAGAGGGGGTTCATCCTGTCCCACCCCAACCGGAAATATGTCTGTATGTAACTGATAAGAGGGGGTGCATCCTGTCCCGCCCCAACCGGAAATATGGCTGTATGTAACTGATAAGAGGGGGTTCATCCTGTCCCACCCCAACCGGAAATATGTCTGTATGTAACTGATAAGAGGGGGTGCATCCTGTCCCGCCCCAACCGGAAATATGTCTGTATGTAACTGATAAGAGGGTTGCGTACATCCTTCCATTGTGTGTTTTTCATTGATTTAAAGACTTTATTAAGTAATACAACTTGAATGAATTAACTAGGAGGTGTTTGTGACAATAAATTTATCACTAAAAAAGTATAGCAGTGAGTTATAAGTAAAAGGAGGAATCTCCGGGGCCAGCAAAGGATCAGTAGGAGGTTTCTTTGGAATCAAGTCAGTCTTTATTATTAAACAAGTGAAGAATAAATTGAAATAATGACAGCAAAGCAGTAAAATGGTATAACGGTGAGTAAAAATTACCTTCAACAGCATGCAGCAAAATAAGAGAGTGTTCCAAATTACTTTGCTATTGCTTTGTCTTACAAACTTGCCATCATTATCACTCCAAAGCTGTAGCCTAGTCTTAAACTTGTGAGTCTTAAAACTTTAATCCTTCTAGAGTCTGTGTCTCCTCTTCTCTGTCCTCTCTCATTTTTTTTTTTCTTACTTCTATAAGTACCCTACCAGAAATCCTGAGGTCTTCACACTAGTGACCTGAAACCAGAGCGATGACCCTTCAAAGAGAACACGGTACGCATTCAGCCTTTCCTCCGTAACTTAAGAAATAGCAAAAATCGACACTTTGTATTTTCATTCCTGCGTGTTTTCAATTAACAGTTTTTGACTTGATCGACAATGGGCTTCATTCAACCGAATATCAACTTGAAGGTAAGAGGGCCTTCTATGTACTAGAGTGAAATAGAAATGTTCTAAATTTTAAAGTGTACTATCCTGATGTGTATTTTGTATATTGTTTTTACAGATTTGTACTCAGGCGAGGAAATAGGTTCTACAAGGGAGAATGGCATTCCATCAGCGCAGGTTGTAGATCTCACAGGAGAAGTCGGTAAGTAAGGTTACCTTAACTTTTAATCAGTGTGTAGGTTTTATTTATTTATTTACAAACTTTTACGCAGATGTGGTAACAGTACTCTTTTCTTTCATTACACCCGCAGATGGTGCGAGCGATTGTGAACGGTACTTTATGCAGGGTCTCTCCCCTACCTTTTACGAGGAGAACGGTTCGGTTCCGGAATCGGATCAGCCCTCGGCTTCGGTACCGCAAGCGAACACGATGAGCCAGATTTGTCCCCGGAATCACCCGTCGATGATGTAGAGCGCTCCAGTCAGGCCGCAGATGGGAGGTCACGTAACGGATCACCGGTAGAAGCGCCGGGACTGATAGCGGAGGAAATCATTCATCCGGACCCAGCAGAACCGTGTACGCCGCTGAATCAGACTGAGCCTATACCGATCAACGGACCTCGGAAAAGGGAACACCGTAGAAGGCTCATTTCAACCAGCAGTAGCAGTAGTAGAGCAGCAGTAAGTAAATTGTTATAACGCTCTAAAACCATTAACCTAGCAAATATGCAGTCATAAAAAAAGTATAGCCTATATACACAGTTTCCCGTGATACCATGTTGCTGATTATTAGGCTATACAATTAATGAGTTAAAAGTATTCCACACTATTTTCTCAAATACAACAGCATGTCAAATGTTCTATGCAGAAAGTAGTCTTATGAGTTAACCTGACTCTAAAAGCTATTTTGCTTCTTTTTCATAAAGTAGGCTATTACTGTGGTGTTTGTTCGTTTGTTTTGCACTTCTACAGTGTTTTGGTACTGATGTCTGACATTCAGGGTATTTAGTTAAAAAACTAGTTTGCTTGTTTGCTATAAAGTATTAATGTAGTGATTTGTAGGGGTGATGCCTGACTTTCTGTATTAAAATACACAAAAGAGGTTAAAGTGTCTTTGTTTTTGTGTCCCTCCAGCAAACAGACCCCGACGATCCGTGAGAGGCTGTCAGAATTGCTGTCGGACTGCCCATGAACAACTAGTTCTAATGAGTAATGCTTTCCGACTAATGGGTGAAATGCTGGCTGTCTACAGTGATCATAATTAGTAAGGTGATTTATCTGAATTTGTTTTAAATGATTTTTTTTGTTTGTTTCATTGGTAATTGTTTTTATTGTTGATTTTCACTTGCAATAGTTAGATAAACGTGTTTATCGTGTTTTTTATAGTGTCTGTTTTAAGGTTTAAGTGTGTTTTGATTTTATGATAATGGATGAAAACAAACCGTTAGGGCTTAGGCAGAGTTTATCAGACGAGGTAGATCAACATTATCAGAATGAGTCAAACTTTCAAAATGGTATAACTGAAAATAGTGTAATTGAAAACGAGACCTCCTCCAGTCAGTTCTTAGATCCGTTACACGCTATAAATCAAGCTCTCGTTGATCTGGAACGCTTAGAAAATGAAATACCAACTGCTTTATTAGATGAAATCAACCAAATGAATGAACCCTTTCACCAAAACAACATCCCCTCTTTACCCGAACCCGAGCATATTCCTGTCTTAAACTCATCTGTGTCTCCAGACCTCTTGATTCAAATACAAAATGCTCTCTCCGAGCTTGAAAATAATGCAATCCCTGCCTTAAACCCCTCTACATCCTCGACCTATCAGACCCCCATTAACTCCCCCCTCATGGAGCAGGTAGCCAACACTCCTCCCTTGCAACAGCAAGGGGGCAGCGTGTCTCAAAATAATGACCCTGTGGCACCTCAAGCAAGAGTCATATCACGACATAGATTCTGTAATTATGAAATACGTCAGGTGTTGCGCTTTCCTTCTCCAACCAATGCAGAGGGTGTAGTGGATTATGCTCAGTTTTACAATGGTACACTGGAGCAGGTAGATGCGATTTTACAACAAGCCTTGTCACACAGGAGACCCCAAGATGTGGTGCAGTTGGAGCTAAGAGGTGAAAATCTCCGTAATAATGTATCAGTTATCTTACAGGATGGTGATGTTGACAATTTAGCGGGTTTTGAAAGACTTTTGCTTCGCATAGTACAATCCAATTGGACCATTATGACAGATGGTGATCTAGAACTGGTTCTCCAAGTGATCACCTGCCCTACAGGCGCGGGTAAAAAAGCAATGGTGGATAAAATGTTACAATGCGAAATCTTAAAAAAAAAAACAACGCTTTCTGTACATTGTAGAAAACGAGGGGAATCAGTTGTGTTTCGCCGTCTGTCTGGCTCATCTTCTACATCCCCTCCTCAACGATAGACAGGCTCTTGAATGCGGCAGAGAGATTCAAAACAAAGTGGGAATGTAGCCTT